AATACATAGAAAATAAATACAATTTAATTACATATCTGACGTAAGTTGTAATGAAATGACGAATCTAAAAACACTATATATCATTAGTATTTCATTAGAGCCAAGCCTTCTGTAGAATGTATTATACGGACCAGAGTAGACAGCTTATTAAACATACAATACACATGAACGATATGATGGACGCTGGCCTCTCATACGTGACCATGTTCATTGAATTACTGATAGATAAAAACATGTCTATACCACGCGTAATGCTATTGTGAGTATGCACAGCCACTGTAAGGTGTGTTACGCTAGGTAAGGTTGACCTGTCGGTCCAACACTAGCTACCTGTCACACAGACAGCGTACTTAAAACAAGGTATATTATAGTAGCTCAGTCGTCTCTTTTGTGTGTATTGTCTATAACATAAGTGTGTAGTTCCAAACTTCAAGATGCATTGTCCACGAGGACATACAATCGCCATTGGTGCCAATAATGTTATGCTCGAACCAAAGTCACATTTTCCTATCTAAAATATAACGTACCCAATAAAAGGTTCCGAAATTCTATTTTACTGACATTTAGTGTTGCCCGATATCTCTATAATACGTATTGGTTTATCTCTTAATACAACATTTTGCTTCAATTATCTTTGAATACAACATACGAAGAATATTGCTAGTAAATCTCCATTTAAATGTTATAATTCCTCTTGCACAATGATAACTTGACGATATAATTGTACCCAATCATGGGATTATAGTATGGACCATAATAACAAATTCTTTCTCTTTGTATATAAGTTTGCGTGTGGCCGAAAGTAGGAGTCATTCCTTACGTTCTACGTCTGCATACATGTTGCGATGGCGACTCTTTCGCATGTTATACATTTACACACAGCTACATATATAATCATCGGGTCTAATCTATTAATGCAAATGATTAATTGAAGGCTCTCATGAGTTTTCTTTTGTTTTACTTTTATATTAAAAAAATGTCCCGCTCATTTACTAAGAAAATATTAACCGTGATGTCAACACCTTTAAGCTCATATTCTCCAATATGTCATACAAAACACCTACCTCCCATGGTATTGCCAAATGCCGGGCTTTATTGACGGTTCTAACAGAGGAAACATTGAGCCAAACCATGGAGATGTTTCGTCAAGGCGAGAAAACTGCCTCTAGTCCTTTTGGTGCAGTACACGTGACTACCTCTCAGCATTAGAATATGTATTCGTTATCTCCCCACAGCACCTCGTCGTTATCTCTCCTACTCCCAACACGTAATATTCCAGGTGTCGTCAACATGTACAGTAAAACACTAGCGGTAACAATTTTGATAGAGTTAACAGGTCTTATCCTGGTTTTATCAGTATTGAAATTGCAGTGTTCATAAGAGTACTGGTGAACGATACATCAAGCTATGTCAGGTAGACAATGAATCATACAAAGTCACCACTGACAAAGTAGATAACATAAAAAAAACCAGTTGAAACAGGTGCTTCCGGCGTTTTCGTCGTGTTGTGATTCCTTTTCGAACAAATTTCCGTTTTCCTTTTAAAAATATATACTCCACCTTATGTTAGAGTGAAACCTGCTCACTGCACGTTATGTAGTAAATTGTTTTCTCAAGACGTCCAATTTAGTGTTAAGCAATTCCCTGTGATACGATTAAATAAAAAGTTACGTTTGTACACAAAACAACACACCGGCAGCCCTTCGCGGTTGCCAGCACGGTTTCTCTTGATAAGCAGTATGCTGATGCGTTTGCAAACAAAATGATCGTCAATTAAACGTTGGACAAACATATAGACAGGCTGTACACCTGAGTGTAAATACCTGTCGGCGTATAAGTTAAAGCTTTATCTACAGTAGATATTGATCAGACCTGCGCTTGTATGGCATGGTGATAATCTACCCCCTGGAAACCGCGGAGCTACCCAGACAAGAACACATAAAATAATTAACTTATATTTTATGCGATAGAGTTACTAATCGTTATAAAGCATTTTAAATGGAGGGTTCTTGTCTTCACGAAGCGTGTACTATGGTGTATGTGTAATTGATAAATACACGTTTAAGCTTGCCAAAAGTAGATTTTAATTTCTCCCCAATAATGAATATTACGTGATATGGTAGACATTTAAACCCAAATATATAATACAAGCATTCTATCTATTTAAAATTAAAGAAATAAAATTGCATTAATGAATGGACAGTTAACTCCGTGTGAGTTGAAAACAAGATAATTAGTTTATATCTCGCGTTTGTGTGTACATATATCTTGCTGTCGCTTTGTTCCAGGGAAGTCTAACGTAGAATGGAGACGCATTGTACACATGCTGGCACAGTATTGTTAAAGGGCTACACTGACATAATTTAGTCAGTTACAACCCGGGACTAATTAGGCGCATATCTAGTTTGTATAGTTATCTTAAAGGTACACTAGATGGGTGTTTACAGACGACAACTATACTGTACCGACAAATGCTATATCACCTATGCCAGCATTGCTAATCAGAAAACAATTAAACGGAGGGGTAAATCGCACGTTAACAAACTACTGGGACAAAAGGAAGACATTAACAGGATGTGGGGAAAAGGACAACGAATAACAAATGAAAACGTTAATGAGATGGCGAAGGACAATCCTTGGAATACTAAACGTGTAAGAGACTCTATGCTGGTGAAACACACAGTAATTTGCCTTGTTATACAATGACTCAGTCTGTCGATACTGTTAATGGGCGGCAGCATTTATCAGCGATTGCAGTCATCCGAATGCCAGGGAAAACAGAGGCAGTTGTAGAAAAGTAAACCTTATAACAACATACATGACTTTATAAATGCATCGTAAGTACACAGCAAGACCTCAGTACCGATAAAAGTAATAATGATCATCTACATAAAGCAAACTATAGCTGGTATAACTTTACATATCGACCTTTATATGTCATGTCGCCAGCAATATGTGAACTTAAGCATTCATGTTCAGAAGATGCTTTATAACTTAACACCGTAATGGTATATTACCTTGACACCTTGATACAATTCAGCAAAACCACCTGGACAAGTATGTACTTTGTTATATGAATATGTAAAACCACCTAGACAAGTAAGCATGTGTTTTATTATATGAATATGTAGAACCACCTGGACAAGTGAGCATGTGATTTGTTATATGTATATGTAAAACCACCTAGACAAGTAAGCATGTGATTTGTTATATGAATATGTAAAACCACCTAGACAAGTAAGCATGTGTTTAATATTTAGATATGCCATAATTTCCCATTTAATTGTGTTTAAACATATATTTCAATGGTTGGTGCAATTTTCCATTCATATAATAACAGCCAAAGAAATATGAAACCTCGACAGATTCCCATATTTCCTACATGTTAATTATTTAGCTGTGACAATGATCCGTACAGACCTGAACTGTCAGACGAAACGATGATATTTTCAATTTTCTTTAGAATCCCTGTCTGAAATTTAATATAAAGAAACAACCTTTTCATGGTATACATGTACTTAATGAAGTTGAAGGAGGTGTTTTAGCTCGTGTCAGAGTCAAGGATTTTAAACTGATCTAAGGGGAACAACAAGGAGTAATTCATAATGCACTTTTTAAATGAATGTTACACGTCTTGTCATTTTTCTAAAGTAATGAGCTTTTTAATTAAGGACATACGTGGTTTTATTCTTATGAAGTTAATGGTGTTTTAATAAGGTTATACGTTGTTCTATTTTTATGGAGTAATAGCGTTTTGTTAAAATATTATTCATGTTTATATTTGTTTTAAGCAATAAGCCTTTTTATAAATGTTATACAAGTTGCTTTTCTTTGTAGAACCAGTAGCATGCAAAGAAAATACTCTATTTGGTAATTCCAATAAGACATTATGATGTTGTAAAGAGCACATATTTTAATTGTGTATCACAAGTAAGAAGTGCTATATCTTTCTTAATACTTTATATTATAATCCATTCACGTGGGATCAACAATGTAGAAGTTACTTCCCTTTGTACATTATCATAAGAACAGGTTTTACGGTAAAATCGCCCATTAATAATCGATATAATATAATATGTTTGGGTGTAATACGATATATATATATGGATTTTATGTATCTGGATTTGCGACAAGATGAAATACAGGTAGAAATTTTGAAAGTTTAAATGTTGTCAAAGTTTGTCAATTATAACAATTGATTGATTAATAACGTCTAAATACTTCAGCGAAATATGTTACTCAGAGCAAAAAGTTGGAAAACGATTTATGTCAACAGCGAAAAAGGTGGAGAGGAAAGTATGAAAGAAGTGATGGGCGTAAATGTATTTTAAGTCTCTGTTATGGCATTCTGTTATGATACATCAAGCCTGATCAGAATAAGGGTCAATGCAATAACATGTTGAGTGGTAAGTAATAATCTGAACACAGAAAATTGCTTCAAAAATGTTTGAAAACATTTCTGAATAAATAGTTTGGAAAAGACCATTTGAAATGTATTTAAGTGCACTTGTATGATAAGATATGTATTTGAAAACACAGAAGCCATAATCTATATGACCCCTCAAAATTCATTTGACAGGAGAAAAACAATTAAATCATTGAAATAGCTTGATATAACGCTTGAATAATTAACTGAATGTGAAGAGTCCTTGGGTAACCAAAGTAGGATTAGTTCTATTTACACATTTACCAGGTTATCTTTAAAACAACTCTATAATTGCGAAAGCAATTTCCGACGATAGAGGACATTTTTAAACACTGCGATGATAAATATCGAATACAAAAAATATCACCACAAAATAAACATTCTTTACTTTCAGACTGGAATCGAAATGTAAAATTATTTTGGATACCCGGTATAGAAAAAAAACCCTTCTGTTTTCAAATACTTATTACCCTTTGTTCCAACTTTGCATTTCATGTAAGTAAAACATGGAATGTGTTTTACAATTCCTTTCAAATATGTTACACTGTAAACAATTCTCCGTTTGTGGGCTTACCTTGCCGAGAAAGTGACCGTGGCTAGTCTTATCAGCTTGGCTGGGACTCGACGAGTACGACTGTTCTGGTGCATTCGCTTGGAGGGAGAAGGGAGCGGGTCGATGTGACCTTGACCAGGTACCATCACGTGGTATTTCGTACTTCCGCCTGAGTTCCGTGTATAGTCGGAGAATGCTCGTGAGGCTGGTGTGTTGTTTGGCGGCTGTTTCCGTTCAACCTGGACCGACATAGGCGACTTAATTCTGCCCATCTTATCATTACCTACATCAGAATCCCGGTCATCACGAGACCTAGAATCCGGAATCGTGATTTCCGAACCTGGACGCGTGGACCTTCCCTCTGTTCGATCATCTGGATAATCATTTTTTTTACTTTTTCGAACGATCGGGGGTTTCCCGATGACTCCTTTTTCTGTTTTTACAATTGCTTCGGGAATCATCGGCGTTGTCACATGAATAGCCGTAGCATTTTTGATTTGAAGGACACCATGTTTACCAAACTTGGCTTCCTTCACCTGAATTCCTTTTAGATCATTGATATCGACATCGATGGGTGATTTTGACTCGATGTCGGCCCCAAGGTCAGGGGGTTTCTCCACCAAAGTCGCCATACCTGGAATCATAAAAAAGATTAACGTTGTATCACTGCTGTAAGATAAAATTGGTGCCAATGGAGCACACTGACAAACCCGTTTGTAGAATCGATTAACGTTAAGTAGCGCATAAGAAAGTGATAAATTACTATGAATACTTGTTGTTTTAATCAATTGTTAGCTTAAACTAGTGTGTTCAAATAGTAATAGTATGACGGTATTATGTTTCACTATATACCAATGACGTTAAGCCTTAACTAACACTACGTTATAAGAGACAACATGATGTGTATGCAACACCAAATAAAAGAAAACGTTGTAATAGTTTGTATATGGTCAAACACAATAATAATGCAAATAGTTCTCTTGTTCAACAAATCATCGTAACATATGTGATTCGGTAATTCTCTTGTTATAAGGGAGTAAATACAAACTATATCTCCGAGAGGGTATCAAGCCGGTTAAAATTTAGGGCACGTACTGATAAAATTGGAATATATACGAGTTATCTCTCTTTTTATAGAAAAAAACGTATCCCACCTTAACATGCAGCCGACACAAAAGTAAGCAAGTGACATCTAGTACTCTTAATAGCTTAGGAGAGCTCATCTCATCTGTTATGAACTAGTACTCTTAATAACTTAGGAGAGCTCATCTCACCTGTTATGAACTAGTGCTCTTAATAGCTTAGGAGAGCTCATCTCATCTGTTATAAACTAATACCCTTAATAGCTTAGGAGAGCTCATCTCATCTGTTATGAACTAGTACCCTTAATAGCTTAGGAGAGCTCATCTCATCTGTTATGAACTAGTGCTCTTAATAGCTTAGGAGAGCTCATCTCATCTGTTATAAACTAATACCCTTAATAGCTTAGGAGAGCTCATCTCATCTGTTATGAACTAGTACCCTTAATAGCTTAGGAGAGCTCATCTCATCTGTTATAAACTAGTGTTCTTTATAGCTTAGGAGAGCTCATCTCATCTGTTATAAACTAGTACTCTTAATAGCTTAGGAGAGCTCATCTCATCTGTTATGAACTAGTACTCTTAATAACTTAGGAGAGCTCATCTCACCTGTTATGAACTAGTGCTCTTAATAGCTTAGGAGAGCTCATCTCATCTGTTATGCACTAGTTCCCTTAATAGCTTAGGAGAGCTCATCTCATCTGTTATGAACTAGTACCCGTAAAAGCTTAGGAGAGCTCATCACATCTGTTATGAAAGACGTAAAGGGAGCAATGACTGCAGTTCCTTTGGTTGAAATAAGGCAGTCCTACAACACTTCTGTTATTTGAATTAGTTTGCAAATTATGCGCAGCGCCAGGTAGCTTAAGGAAATTAAAACATTGGACAATCAGTTTGTAGACATATTTATGATGCAAATCATCACGAGACGTTATGAATATATAACGTCAATCACAAAGTGCATAATTCACATCTTACATCCGTAAACTCCAGTATTATTGTTTACTATATCCGGGTATTAATATGTAGGGCTATGTACTCATATTTTAAGGAGGAAACAAGATAAAAGAATTTACGTTGCATATTTAAACCATTAAACATAAGCAGTGTAGTGCGCTTTCTCCACCAAACATCAAGTATCAGTAGCATTAGAACTATTAGTATCAGTATCAGTAGTATTAGAACTATAAGTATCAGTATCAGTAGTATTAGAACTATTAGTATCAGTAGTATTAGAACTATTAGTATCAGTAGTATTAGAACTATTAGTATCAGTATCAGATGTATTAGAACTATTAGTATCAGTAGTATTAGAACTATTAGTATCAGTATCAGTAGTATTAGAACTATTAGTATCAGTATCAGTAGTATTAGAACTATTAGTATCAGTAGTATTAGAACTATTAGTATCAGTATCAGTAGTATTAGAACTATTAGTATCAGTAGTATTAGAACTATTAGTATCAGTATCAGTAGTATTAGAACTATTAGTATCAGTAGTATTAGAACTATTAGTATCAGTATCAGTAGTATTAGAACTATTAGTATCAGTATCAGTAGTATTATAACTATTAGTATCAATATCAGTAGTATTATAACAATTAGTATCAGTATCGGTAGTATTAGAACTATTAGTATCAGTAGTATTAAAACTATTAGTATCAGTATCAGTAGTATTAGAACTATTAGTATCAGTTGTATTAGAACTATTAGTATCAGTATCAATAGTATTAGAACTATTAATATCAGTAGCAGTAGTATTAGAACTATTAGTTTCAGTAGTATTAGAACTATATGTATCAGTATCAGAAGTATTATAACTTGTTAAACAGGATTGCATGACTGAATACTTTTGTATCACAGCATTTCTAAATATTGTGGGTAAAGATGTATGACTGTGAAATCTGCACGAATGCTTCTGTAGTAAGGGTTAAATATTGACATGAACAATTATAATACAAGGTAAAAAAAGGCGAACAAAGAATAATATTGTATATAGGAATATTAATTTTAAAATATGCTGCATTATATCATAGCATGACGTTTGTCCTAATATTCAGAATTGAATTAAAATATCCTAAGTGCACAACCGTTTTTAAACTTAAGGATTTTCCTAATACTTAAATGAAGTGTTCCAATATGATAGAAGGAATTTCCATGAGAAAAGGAACGTCCTTGAAACTATGACGATTAGGATTATAATATATATGGGTAGTAGTTGTTTTTTTATAAATGTTTCTATGATTAAAAATGTACATGAAACATTATTCCTGAACGCACAAATACAGCTGAGTTTATCTTGAAGCACGAAGATACACAATATTAATTCTACACGCACTTCTGATGTTTAGAGGCAACTTTGTCCATATTTCGCCTCAATGCTCTATCTATGAAGTCGCAAAACCCAAGGTATAAACATTAGTTCCTTTACATTCGCCGTTACCTTAACTTTGTCATTGTTTTTTAACTTGATGAAACACAAATTGAAACGAGCTGACCACTTTAATATCAAGACTTAACTGTTTGCATATACTATTGTAGTAAAATCTATATACATTTCGACATTTAAGAATAAAGCATTTTTCAAGTATATATATATAGGCATGTATTGAAGCGTTACATCTAGAAAGTGTCATTATCTAAAGAACTGTTTGATAAGAAATATTTACAATATACTTTAGATATGGATATTTGCTATCGTTCATATCACGAACAAAAAACGTGACAACGATCATGAGAAAGACGCTGCAGGTATTAACTAAGATGAATCCACTTACTATATGCATTGTAAACCTATATACCTTCATTTACGACGTAAATGAATATTAGAAATGTTAGAATTTTTATACTTAAAACAAAATCTAGTTTGCAAGAAAGTAAGCAGCCAAGTCATGTATTAATTATGAAAAGATAACTTTGCTTTCTACTCGCGTGATTTGTTCTGATGATACCTACAAAGGTATCTAAATTGACATTTGTTCTGATGATACCTACAAAGGTATCTAAATTGTCATTGGTACTTCGGTACCAACGTAACAAATCATGGTTTACCGTGTTTTCTTTGAATTTTTCTCTGTTTGTGTCTCACAGAATTCCATACAGTGGCCGACATCATATTTTCTAACAGTTCCTGTTTCCTAACAATGTTAATGTCAGTCTCCCTCCGGGTGACAGCAAAAGTGATACAAACTTGGTTTACAACGCTTAAAATACCGCTCGGTGACTTCGAACTTGAAACCTCCTAGACAAGATCCCATTGACGTAAAACACATAATACAGAATCGTACATCATTCAGGTGCATTTCGAACATGTTTAAAATCACTATTTAGATGCACGTCTGTCACATGCTGTCACCTGGTCAAAGCAAGCATCAAGTGTCAAACATTTATTGTTTATAGATGAAGGTTACAGTCGCCTCCAATCATGCTATATTGTTCTTTAGACCTTTCGATTGCGAATTTCCGTGCGAAGTTTACAGATTCCATCAACATGCATGAACACCATCGTTGAGCATTAGGCTGTTGCTTTAATTTTGAATGCTGCGCTTGAATGAGTCAGCTATATATCCACTTTACCAACACTTATGTAGACATGTCCATTCGTTGTTGTTACTGTTTACCTAAACAACAAGTATTACAACATTTACATACACAGAGAGGCCTAGACCTCGTCTCACTGCTAATGTCTGCCAGTCTTTCACAAACTAATTGGAATTTCCTCTTACAATCCCGAGCCATTCAAATGGCAAACCATTATTACTGTGTATGAATGACAATTCCCTGCGATTCTTCACAATTAGAACCGAAAGTAATAATCTCATAACAAATAAACGTGTTTGAATGGCAGGTAATTATACGGAGTTCATTATCAGGTTCATTGGAAATAAATTCAGTGAAGCCTTCCCGTGCCTGGTTAACCCAGCGTACTCGTATAGCGATAAATGGGAGTTTACGGGAGCTAATGGCATAACAAACATATACATATATTTACACAGAGTATACTATATATTTTTATGATGATATGAGATTATTGTGAGTTCAATAAATATTTACACACACCTACTTTTGTATTGCTGTTTTGTACACAGAATATTCCCAAATTTTGCTGTTTCTTTGGTGACTAAGCTGACAAAGTTTTAGCATACCTATCCGTCTGTTATCTAGTTCAGTAACAATGTATTAGCGGAAATTCATTGTGTTTTAGAAAGGAATTATCTGCCTCCATTGTCATTTCAAAAACACATACTTGCATATCGATATATCACAAATCAAAATAAAGGTGATTACAACCTAGTACTTGGTCAGCAACGACAAGAAACTGCACAACTCAGAATGAAAAATAAAAATAAGAAATTTTCATTAATCATAATACTAATGAAGATAACGCCTGTTATAGAAATCAAGTCTCCTTCTGTTTGGTAACTTTAATTACATATTGCACTAGGAGGTATCGTCAATATTTTTTTCATTATGCTAACCGTCCACAATTGTGACATTGGTGTATACAGTTATGTAACTACACCATGGTTACGGTCACGTGGTTATACACCGAGATCCCGAGATGGACAAGATATGACGTCACTGATTTTGATCAGCCGAGGTCTCGTTTTCGATCGTTTTCAGATATGTTTTCCTGTCTTTTGTGTTTAGATTTTAAACTCCCGTTAGTATAGTGAATAGATATACACAAATCCAAGGTTGTGAATACCTGACACACCCTATTGATTGCTTCTGGTTGATTTGAGTGTGTCAACAAAGTAAACGTTACCTAGATAATCCTACACGTGCTGTTTTATAAACATATTGAATAATGCCAAAGGGGGTTTACGCGTGTTATCTGCATTTCAACGACTTCAACTGAGTCGAATTGCTTAAGAAATATCAATGCTTTTTTCGTAGAAGACATTTGAGCGATAGCATTTGGGTCTGGGCTCCGGATTTCACTTTTAAAGAAAAACATGATCAAGAAGCCACATCGATATCACTACGATGCCGTCCCAATGGGTATGGTTAGGTAACGTACGGGTGTGTTGTGAAATAAATGTGTAATATTTTGATGAACATTAATCTCATGAGCATTCATTACCATATTATAAGACTACACTCATTATTCATACTAGCACATAACCCCTTCAGGATCTCTGTACTAATGTAACTTTACATCGGAGACTGCTTTTCCAGCATGCCTATAGCTTTGATAAATAATTTCTGAATAAACATATCTTTGTGGGACTTTTATAAAATTAAAACAAGATAGTTCAAACAAAAGTAAAAAGGATATTTGCCCAATTGTTCAACAGTTATATCCAAATTAAAAGGGGACTATTGCATTTACACACACACACACACACACAAAAGGAAAAAAGGAAAATCCTTGAAATTTACTTACAGTTGGACAGGGATCCTAAAATGCGTCATTCACCCCTTTTGACTTTTATGACTGGTGTGAATTTCCTGTTTACAATAAGGATATACTACTCATATATATCGTATTCGTGACAGCCCTAATTCATGTCTACAACCTGTTGACTGTTTCTCTGACCTTCGTGTTGATGGATGGAGTAATTCCGAACCATGGTGCTTTCCTAATGTGATCAACACCAATCCTTTCACATCTCAATGCCATCCTGTTATAAGTTTGAAGCTCTTTCATTAACTTTACCCTCCACACAAAGTTGTTGTATATCCTACACCTAAAGGGTTTGTTTGCCCTTTCTACGCAAATCGGCCCGAGGTTTGACATCTATGACACGTTGTCAATGTAAATTGCCCAAATGAAAACACACGACACGTCCTTATGGGACTTATTATGAGTGTCAGCGTTTCATTACAAAATAGTCGAGATGATGTGAATAATGGACTTAGTTTTCATGACATTTCCGAAAGACAAATATGCTATTTTTCTATAAAGTCATATTATGTGCAGATTGTGTGTCATGACATCTGCATCAACTACTAACACTTGGATTTACAGATAGCCTATATAATGCCAATCGGATTTACACATTGCCTAAATCACGACACACAGATTACCGCATAACCTTACTCACGACACACATATTGCCGCATTGTCTTAATCACGACACACATATTGCCGCATTGTCTTAATCACGACACACAGATTACCGCATTACCTTACTCACGACACACATATTGCCGCATTGTCTTAATCACGACACACATATTGCCGCATTACCTTACTCACGACACACATATTGCCGCATTGTCTTAATCACGACACACAAATTACCGCATTACCTTAATCACGACACACAGATTACCGCATTACCTTAATCAGGACACTTATTTCGCCACATTGCCAATTGCATGACCATCAGGTTGCTAAATTGCCTGCCTATAGCATGACACTCGGACTGCCACATTGCCTATAGCATGACACTCGGAATGCCACATTGCCTATAGCATGACACTCGGACTGCCACATTGCCTATAGCATGACACTCGGACTGCCACTTTGCATATAGCATGACACCCGGACTGCCACATTGCCTATAGCATGACACCCGGACTGCCACATTGCCTATATCATGACACCCGGACTGCCATATTGACTATATCATGGCACTCGGAATGCCACATTGCCTATATCATGACACCCGGACTGTCACATTGCCTATATTATGGCACTCGGACTGCCACATTGCCTATAGCATGACACCCGGACTGCCACATTGCCTATATCATGACACTCGGACTGCCATATTGACTATAGCATGACACTCGGACTGCAACATTGCCTATACGTGGAGCGCCATATTGCCTATATCTTGACACTCGGGCTGCCACATTGCTTATACTGTTAACATTCAATTGGCACATTGTTTACTTTAAGACGCTAGGTTGTAATTTTTGCACATTGCCTTGTTCATGACACTTCGATCGACACATTGCCTCTATCATATAACATCATTCGGATTGACACATTGCTTATATCATTTCATAACATTCAAATAACCACGTTCTATGTTAAGATTATAACTGTGCTCATGCCTATCGATAACTCTTGTTGAGTTTGAATGTATTTATGGAAGCATAGCAAACCAAAACGTTGGGGTTGTACGGCCCTGTGTACCGACATAAGGGTGATATTTTGCTAAGTCAATGATAACATAACAACTTGTCAGCAAACACCAACACAGTAGACATGATCAGTGTAGGCTAATAATGTGATATGGCGAAGAGAGTTAAAAGCTTCTATTGATTCACTTCAGTGTTCTGTATTTACACTTAGGATTCCATACTTTACTATACCTGTCACAGAAAACTTGCATTGTTTAAAACAGGTCAGGGTATAAACGGAGAAGGTATTCAAACAAAACTTCAATAAGTATTATACTAAGAGGTAGCACGATTTGTTTCATTATAAATTAACTGTCCATGTCTTTGATATGGCTAAGATTTGACGTTGTAAAATAATGAAATTGCATTGTTTGTTATTGAGTGATGTGTTTTATGTTTTAATTTACAATGAACTTCTGTACAAATAGCACTGTTTGATATACACGTATGCAGCAGTACATCATAGTTTATTTCAATATATAAATGCATTCGCTGTGCAAGTGAGCACATTTGATCACCTTGTGTGGCCTCGGTATTGGTTTTACTGGCCCTATTTCTATAACAGTTTGGCCATGACACATGTTTGCTAACTAATTACAAAGAAGTCTAACAGGTAAGAATGTATTGAGTTTGATTCTTGTATCATGTACCTATAGTTACACAACTGGCATAACTAGAAGATGACACACACACAGTTGTAATTACGTATAAAACGTGATCGGTAAATCTACGTTGTTATATATAAATATATATATATATTCAGGCTCTTCAAACCTGAAGAGCCCTGTGAAGGGTGAAAGCAGCTAGTTTTTTAGTCGGTCGTTAATTTTATTTTTTCTATATTTACTTCCTTCACATGGACATTTAATCACTTTTTATTATATATATATATATATATATAAACCAAATGTACCTGGTACATGGTAATATCATGCAAAAACATGCTATACGTTGCATACTTGAATATACTTAAGTTTAATCACACAGATGTATACATACAGCCTATATATCTGTATACGGTTCGTACGTGTGTCGGGTATATAATACGGCGTAGACTTGTACTAATGTGCTAATTAAAGTCACTATGTAGTTGAACCAACCATATAATACTCCCCTATTATATCCTGTCAGAGAACACGAGGTTTGGGTTGTACCGGTAGAACAGACACGTTAGCTTGTTTACACGTCAATAGCATTCCACAAACATGGTAAGCTTGCAACAAATAAAAATAATTCAATCTGATCCATAATTGTTCGGGCTAAGCATAGTCGTGTTTTGTATACTTATTTAATTAATAGCATAGGTAAGTCGATTCAGCTTAACTTGTAGAATAAAAATGGATTTTTTTTTTGAAAGATTATCATTTATGATTTATCATTTATTTTGTTTATCACTTCAAGCTTACTAGCATGGCAATGTGTCTAATCCCAATGTTAAATAGCCTGTTTTGCACGTAATACATCTATTGAAACTAAAAATCAATATTGACATTTTATTTTCAGCTCACCAATTGCAAAATGTTATGAATGCAAAGCCATATTGACAAAACAATTGTGAAAACGTATCTCCTTCTACCGGTATAATGTTTGAAGTGTAAATGATTGTCGTGCTAAACCACTGTAGATTTCGACGTCCTTAAACAAGCAATGCGACATTATAATTTATACCAATATCATTTCAATGTAAAACTTTTTTTCT